AATAAAGAATCATATTAGGTAAAAATGTATATTTTTTAAAAAATTATTAAATTATCAGGGATTATGTAAAATAATATTTTAAGTCAGACTTATTATAAAAAGTTACCTGAGAAAAGTTTTGCTAATACAAAGTTATTCACATTTTTTGGTAAAAGAAGAAAAGGAATTTGATCAGAAAAATATCAAAAATAAAAAATAAGTTAAAGGTTTTTTATAGTGAGATGAGCAATATTTCCGACATGTTCAACAGACAAAAATAGCTCCACGAGCTCCAAATCCAAGCTTCCTTTTTCTCTATCTTCTCTTTCTCTCTTAATTCACTTTTTTTCCTGTGTTTCATGATTTGGCCAAACGATGAGAGAAGAGGGGTTTTAAGATAATGATTTTAGATATTATAATAAAATAATAATTAAATATTAATATAACTTTTTAATTTAATTAATCCTTTACTATAAAATTCATATAAATCATTTTGGGCTTTAAAAAATATATAAAAATATTCATAAAATAAATCTTTTTATTTAAAAAATATCAGTGAATTCAGTTTGCAAAACGGACACCTAATGGTCATGAAATTTTCACTTGTACTAACATGTATCAATTTCTTAAGGATTTTCACTAGTGCCCAAAAAATATGAAAAAATACCACAAGTAAAATACTAAAATAACAATACTATGGAGAAGAGGGTTTGCAATTTGGAGTTATATTGAATTCAGAAAAATATTATTTACCAGTGTTAAAATAGGGGTTATTAAATTTTCGGATGCCTTTGTTCAACATTTTAAAAGGTTTTTCAACTCTTCTACGTCATCTTTAGCTTTTTACTTTATTTTTCCAGTGGGTAACCATATTCCTATTCCAGTTATTTCAGTTCTTCTATCTCCTGTCTCTATAGATGGAATTAAAAAGGTTATTTTCTCAGCTCCTTTCTTTGCTCGTGGGCTGAATGACTATACTTCTGAATTCTTTGAAAAAGACCAAGACATTGTTGGTCCTAAGTATGGTAAGGCTATTTTGCATTATTTTTCTTTTGGAAAAATGACTAGAGCTGCCAAAGCTATAATTATTGTTCTAATTCCAAAATGTTATCATGCTTCTCAAAATTTTGATTTTAGGCCTATTTCTTCATGTAATATTTTTTATAAAATAGTGGCTAAAATTTTGACTAATAGAATGTAAATTATTGTGTCTTATATTATTCAGCCTAATCAGTCTGGGTTTATCATGAAGAGAATTTCAACTGATAATATTTCATTAGCTTCTGAAATTCAGAGGGATTTTAATTTTGGCAAAGTTAAAAATTTATGTGCTAAGTTGATATTTAAAAAGCTTTTGATACTATTTCTAGATATTTTCTCTTAACTAGAATGGATCAAAAAGGTTTTCATGAAAAATCTATTAGTTAGATTAAAGGTTGTATTGAGGAAACCTTTTTCTATATTAATTTAACTGGTTATTTGGAAGGTTTCTTTAATTCTTTCTCCGATCTTTGTCAAGGTTGTCCCTTATCTCCTTACTTATTTTGTATTGTGATGGATGCTTTATCAAGCTTGATTGATAATATTTTCCTTGGATCTCATTTTGAGGGATTAAAAGTGGTGATGGCCATATTTCGCATTTACTTTATGCGGATGATGTTCTTGTTTTTGGTAAAACATCAGTTAATAATGCTAAGAAGTTACAAGACATTTTGGATTATTTCTCTAAATGTTATGGTCTTTTTGTTAATCATAACAAAAGTATGGCTATGTTCTCTAAGGATATTATTGAGAAGGAAATGGTTTGTCAAGCCTTAAATATTTCTACTTCTTAGAATTGTATGAAATATTTGGGTTTTCCTATTTCTGTTAAAAGGCTTATTGGCTTGAACTTTCAACCTTTTCTTAATAAGGTCACTGATTTACTTTCAAGTTGGAAGACTAAAATTATTTCTTTTGCAGGAAGAGTGTAATATCTTAGATTTTCTATCTCTAATTATATTGCATATTGGATTAGTGGTATGATTATTTTTAAATTTTTTCTTAAATTCATTAGAAAAGTTTGTTCCAATTTTCTTTTTCATGACAATATTAATTCTAAGAAGATGCATATTATTGCTTGGAAAGATGTTTGTAACCCTAAGTGTTTTTGGGGTTTAGGTATTCCTGACCTCAATGCTCTTTATTATGCTTTTAATTTTTCTATTATTTGGATAATCTTAAATAAGAATTGTTTATTGGCTACCTAGGTGAAAGAAAAAATATATTTCTTTATGAAAGCCACCCTCTTCTAAGGCTTCAATGTTATGGAAAAATGTCTGTATGTTGTCTAAGAATTTATAATAGTTTTCTTTCATTTTATTGGGATTCTTGGTATGGTGCCTGGTCTTTTCATGAATTAGTTCCTAATATAAATTCTTATTGACATACTATTCTGGTAAAGGATGTTATTTCAAATGGCAGTTAGTCTTTATCTAATTTCCTTTAGAATTTGCTTTCCTTTAATTCTACTACCATTCCTATTCATGATTCTTTAATTTCTTGTATTGACTAGAATGGTGTGCTGCTACCTCAGTTTAATTTATTTCATTTAGATTTTTATACAGGGCATGCTAAGGTTAATTGGTATAATTTTATTTTGCATAAACATTATGATTTGAGATATTCAAGTTATGCTTGGACGGCCGTATTAAATGGGCTGAAAATCGTGAATATTCTTTTTAAAAGGATTGGTAATATTCCTTAAGGGTGTGTTTTTTGTGATTCTCTTTTGGAGACTCATAATCACTTATTTTTTTAATGTGATTTTACTTTTTCTATTATATCTTTGCTCATTCCTAATTCAAACTATTATTTTTCTAAGGCCTTTTTTTTTTCAAGTTTTAGATTTCATTTCGGGCTTAAATGCGTCTAATGATGTTAAAAATTTGTTCTTTTTGGCTTCTTGTTGTTCCTTGTATTATTCGTGGAGAGAAATGAACGAAAGAAAATTTTTTTATTTTTGAAAGAATTTAGATTCGATTTTTAGTTTGATCAAGCAGGCCATTTTTGCTAGATTTTTAATTGAAAATCTTTTAATGAGGTTAAGGGGTTTTTTTTTCATGTATAATGTAGCTATTTTATCTTTGGACAACTAATTATTTATAATCTAGTTTATAATCTGGATGATCATTTATAGCAACCAAAGTTTGTTAGAAATCTTTTTGCTAGGTTTACTTGGAGTTGGCAATCTGTTTTTAAGATTTGGCCGGATCTATTTTAAACTTGGGGTTGCCATGCGATCTTTTGTTTTCTGAAGTTCGCTGTTGTTGTCTTTAACCATTCCTGGTTGCTGGTGGATTTTATTTTTGGTCCTTCTGTTCTTGTTGTTTCATTTTTTGGTTTTTGTGTGTGTTATTTTTCTTGATTTTTGCCAATTATCTAGTTTTGATGGAGAAAGGCTTTGTGGATTTTGGCAGCTTTGGAAGACTGGATATCTACTCTGGACAAGATCGTTGATTTTGAAGAGGTGGATCGATTATTGGTTCGTTGGATACTGATGTTTTTCTCATTGTTTGGTGAGCTGAGCTTAGGACATCTCCAACGGAAAACTCCATTTTCACGGCAAAAAACAACAAAACTTGGTGCTGCTCCAATCGAACACCATTTTATGTGCTTTTGCGAAGGAAACAATCCTTCTCCCTTTCGCGCGTTTTTCCGGTTGAGAGAGCAAAATAACGTAGGTGAACAGTGCAACTCCAATATTGGCGTTGCACTGTTCACCTGCAAGTAAATGGTGGAAAATTGCTGGAGCGACCGAACGACGCCATACGCTCGTTTCACGTTCAGTCGGAGCTGCTCTTAGTGGATTTTGCGGCTTTGAAAGACTATATATCTACTCTGGTCAAAATTGTTGATTTTGAAGAGGTGGATTAGCTATTGGTGAGTTGGAATACAGGTCTTTTTCTCATCGTTTGGATAGGTTGAGCATGGATTTTTGGGCTTTTCAATTTTGGAAGACTGGTTATTTGCATTGGATAAGTTTATTGTTTGTGAATGTTGAATAAGTTTTTGTTGGAAGGCTGATTCATATTCATATTTCCTGATTTATGATTATGATTCCCGGTTAGAGTAACCTGGAGTTGAAGATTCACTTGAATTACCTGTTGACATATTATTGTGATCGATGACATCTATATTCAGAAGATAGACATGTTGCTTTGAATTTGTATCGAATTTTTGATCTTTCTGTCATTATATTCTGTTGAAAGGCTGTTTGTTTGTCTTTCATTTGTTTTTTCTTGACTTTTTATAAGTTAGGTTCTTTGGTAGGTCTTCTTAGATTCCTTTTCAAGGGTTGTAAGTTTTTTCTATTTTTCTTGAACAACTTGAATTTTTGTTATATTCTTTTCATTGTTTTAATGAAAATTCAGCTTGATTACCTCTAAATTTTCAAAAAACAAACATTTAATAGAATTTATATTGAATCCGGTATAAATTCGGGTACAAAATAGCCAGAAACAAATCAATTCCGTATTTACTAATTACGATTCTTTTTTTTTTTAGCAATTTTTTTGGGAAAGGTCTTTAAGATTCCTAGACCACCTGCTATTTTTTTCCAAAAAAGAAAAGGAAAATTTACATACATACCACTTTATAATATCCTATTTACATATCTAACACCTAAAACTTTAATATTACATGAATACCACCCTATATTATTTTAATTTCAAATATATCACTTACATTTCTTTCCTACCACTCAAATATTTCATTTCTACCACTCATATTTGGTATGAAAATGAACTATGAGTGGTATGTATGTAATATTAAAGTTTTAGGTGTTAAATATGTAAATAGAATAGTATTAAGTGGTATGTATGTAAATCTCCCAAAAGAAAAATATAATCACTGTAATTCAGCCATGCGGACTTTCGCGCTTCCTATTGCTGTTCCTGCCTTGAGCTTGAGCACATAATAATTTTTCGAGCTGAGAGATTATTGTGTGCAAAGTTTAGAGGATAATTCAGATATGATATTAATTAAGTGCGATAACGTGGCGCTTCCAGACGCTCTCTATGTAATAATTTTTCCACAGCTTGTGATAGGGTACTTGGGCGCTGGCATCCTATGTAATTTCAGTTGGGAAGAGCGATCACTTGAGAGGAACCGAGAAGAGATGCTGATTCTAGTGACCGGTGCGTCTGGTTACCTCGGTGGCAATCTCTGTCGCGCACTTATAGCTGACGGTCACACGGTTAGGGCCTTTGTGCGGCCCAGCAGCGAACTCAGTTCCCTCGGAATTGGCGGCGGAGGAGAAGTTGGAGATTCTTCGCTGGAGCTTGCGTACGGAGACATTACTGACCCCCCTTCCCTCCTCGAGGCCTGCGCTGGCTGCGAAGTCATTTTTCACGCCGCGGCACTTGTCGAGCCCTGGCTTCCGGACCCTTCCAGATTCTTCTCGGTAATTCATTCTCACTCATGAAACCTTGATCATCCTATTGTCGCCATAAATTTGGGATTTTGCGCCGAAAGGAAGACATTTGATGATTTTAGTGGATGGTGCCCTGTAAAGGACAGGAAGGTATCAAATGCAATGTTCTGAAGCGTGGAAGCATGGCGTACTTGTTGGAAATTTAGGGCTTTTTGATTGCAAGGAGAGACTGAGTTAGGGTAAATTTATGTTTGCGTCATATTTGGTAGGGGTGTCAATTTCGGATTATGGATCGTGTTCGAATCGAATTCGGAACTGACCCGGCACTATTTGGTCAAACCTAATCCGACCCATTTTTGCATACGGGTCGGTTTTCCGGACCCGAACCCGACCCGCTTCGGGTTCGGGTCAACCAGACCTGACCCGCTTCGGCAGCGACAGCAGGCGCCAGGCAGCGATGTTCGGCAGCCGCCAGCGGGTAGCGGTGTTCGGCAGCCGCTAGTGGGCTGCGACGTTCGGTAGCGAACACGATGGTGAGATGGCGCGGCAGACGGGGCGATGCGACTCGAATGCGATGGCACGGCAGACGAGGCTCGATGCACTCGGGTAGGCGGGCATACCGTGGCAGGCGGGCAAGCCGGGCAGGAGTGCATGCGGGGGCAGGCGCCAGGCGTGCATGCTGGGCAGGCGCCAGGAGGGCAAGCGCGACAGGCAACGTGGGCAGAAGTTTTTTCGGGTCATTTTGGGTCTATCCCGAGTTTTCGAGTCAACCCGAACCCCACCCGATTTTGCAAATGAGTCGATTTTCCAGACCCGAACCCGACCCGCTTCGGGTTCGGGTCAACCCAAACCCGAAATTTACGGGTCGGATTTTCGGGTCGGGTCCAATTATTTGGCGGCCTAGTAGCCTCTACTGAATAAATTTATTTGCTTCTAGTAAGAGAACGATTATCTGAATTAAGTTTTCAACTCAGAAATCCATCGATTTCATCTCCCAATTTTTTTCTCTTGCACAAAAAACCCAACATTGCAAGCCCTAGGCCCCTTTCTTGCAAAACCCTCGCTCTGACATCCGAACACAAGCACCCAGCCCCACTGCTTTTCAGCCCTCCGCTCCAATCAGAAAAATTAGGAATTGATATGAGTTACGAATCAAACAACATTTAAATAATAAGCAATAAATAAGATAGGGTTAGGTAAGCCAAAATTCTATATTAAAAGAAATAGCTAATAAATCATAAAAGGACAAATTCATTAATTAAAATTAATTAAAGCTATTTTATTTTAAATCATCTATATCAAGTTAATGTCCATGTAATTTCTGGTTAGTAGTAAATAGGCCATTAACTTAATTACTAGTTAGGTTTAAGTGTTTGTTGATTGGCCCTCTGAGACATGTCTCATCTATTACGAATTTTTACTAGTCCCCATTTGGAAAAATTATTTTGTGTGGAAGCGGAATTTGTCCGGATACATAAGCCCGTGGGTCAGTATCTCTCGGTATTGCTCGGTACTGAGACTCGGTATCGCTGTTGTGGCTCATTTTGATTGGTATCCAGACGCAGAGCTGCGTTCGGCGTCCGCACAGAATAATCTCTCTCCCATTTGATAGAATTTAATCGGTTCAAACCCTGCAAAATTCCAAAAGAAAAATGTCATACGTTCTTACTTTATTTGTTCCAGCTTAATGTGTTAAATCACGATATGTTTTCGTACTTAACACAAACTTGCAGCTTTGTGTTTGAGCTAGCTCAAGATTGACTGGCATTCACAATCTTGAATCCCAAACCTAATTTGAAACACAATTTGAATTTGATTTACATGTATATATGATGATGGATGGAGAGACGAGAGAGTGTTTCTTGTCCACTCGAGTGGAAATTTATGCTTCTCCTTCCTCGATTTTAACCATGGGGGCTTAAAAGTGAAAATCAAATGTATTCTTGATCAACACCAGTAAAACTTTCGAGTGTCCAGATTTCATAAAATTTAAACTATTTTATTAGCATCAAGCTTAGAGTAGAATTGAGTGGTGGACGTGCTATGATGTTTAATCAATATTGATAAATTAAGGTTTCGTTTGGGGCAGCTTCGTTACTGTTTTATGAAGAATTTTTTTAGTATAAAAATATTTTGAAGTTGAAATTTTGTTCTAAAAATTATTAAGAAAGCTGTCCCAAATGAAGCCTAAATCATTCTAGATCAAATCATTAGCCATATTCTACATAGATGCTCAATTACTATTTTTGCATTATTTTTGACATTGGTGCTATGAATATAAAGATATTGCATCACGCTACCAATGCCATTTTAAAACATTATTTCTGAATTTGGTTGATTGACAATGGGATGATCTAGAATTTTTTTAATTTGGCGCAAAAGTGGAGATTTTCAATTGCTTTGATTCTTTATTTTAAAAGATTTAAAACCAACATATTTTGAGAAAGGAAATGGGATATGAAAAGAGTAGGTTAGGTTTCCACTCGTGTTGAAAGGGCCATGCTCAACCTGAAATCTGTTCATAAACATGTTCATGTTGAACACTGTAATTATGACTCCATTTGAAATGATTTGATTTCATTCTAAAATTCTAGTGAGTTTAAAATTCAAACATTTATATCAGCCTTATTGTTGGCGTTGATTGCTTGATGGGTTTATTTCCAATGCAGAGCACATTTGCATTGAATCTGCGAATTTGTAATTCATTGAGTTTTTTGGTTCATCGGTGCATTGAATTTGTAACAGCTGAATGTTTTTTGACTGGTGAACGGGCATGGCAATAAAAGGTGTCTTTTGTTTTAATGTAATTATAGCCAATATATCTTTCCCTTTTCAGGTAAACGTGGGTGGCCTAAGAAACATTTTACAAGCATCTAAAGAGACAAAGACAATCAAGAAAATAATCTATACATCATCCTTTTTTGCTCTTGGCTTCACTGATGGCTACGTTGCAGATGAGAAACAGGTGGAAGGAGTCTTTTTATTTTGTGTTATATATAATTTCATGTAATATCTCAAGCAAAAGCCTTTTTCTAGCCAACTTAACTGAGAAGTACCGCTATCCTGTCTGATCACTGCTATGCTCTCTTGATAACTATCTATTAATGTTATTGAATAATTTTCGTCGCTAGACTCTGCCCTCTTGATTGTCCCAAATGAGATAGTTTCTCACCATCCTTACCATCGCAGGTCCATCAAGGCAAGGTTTTTTGCACGGAATATGAGAAATCGAAGGCCATTGCAGACAAAATTGCATTGGATGCTGCAGCCAATGGTGTTCCTATTGTTCTTCTCTATCCAGGAGTCATCTATGGACCGGGAAAGCTTACAACTGGAAATATTCTTGCACACATTGTAAGACCTATCCTTGTTTTTTGTTTCTTTGATCGCACTATAGAAGTGTTAACAATAAACTGAACATACTCTGCTGAGCGAGTAGCTTGCTACATTATGCATATCCTCTTTGTCCTCAGCAATTCACATATGTTTTTCATGATTGATAGCTCAAGTCACATTTTAGGAATTTCAGCCTACTATGCAAAATGATTGAGATGATATCAAACATTTAGGTATGGCATCGCAAAAGCAATGATGTTGAGCAGATTCAACTTATATAAACATCAATGCTCTTATATCTTTTTAAGATATCATGCGGCTTCTTTCCTTGTGTTGTCAGGCCTAATTAATTTCCCAGTTACTGTTCCTGTTTTAGTGGATGATGGAAGTTTTTTGGTTTATTTGCTAGATGATGTGAGTCAAGACACACTGAGTGGCGGAAGGGGAGGGGGTTGAATTAGGTGTGCAATTTTTTTCTGATACAATAAAACTTCCTCTAAAATTCATCCTATACAGATCCCTCACAATACAATATAAAAGCTATAAATACACACACTTACTATAATTATAACACACTTATAGTCCAATCAAATATATTTGTGGGCTCTGAAAATTCTCATCCCGGCCTCTCCATAGTCCCCGTTCTTTGTTTTTTAATTTTATTGGGTGGTCAAGGAGAGTTTTACCAAGTAAGTTCTGAGGCAAATTTTCATAAGGCAAATTGGATTATGAATAAGACACTACCCAGAGATTTCATCCTCATTTTGCGAGGACTTTATGATCTGAGTTCAGGTTTCTTAATTACCCCTCCGGTATAGGGAGAGAACTTTTGATTAAGGCTAGTCGTCAAACATATACGTAGAGATACATGGTACATGATGTATAGTAGCAACATGATTTGGTATTTGAAATTTAATATTTAAAATTCTAAAATTTATCACTTTGCACTTAAAGCGGATGGTGGGGGGAGTGATGATGAGCCCTATCAAGGTCCCATGATTTCGTCATTTCGGGTCATCATGGTCCCTTGTCTACTTAGTCAGAGGAGTTAGTCAATCCAACCTGACAGAATGATCCTTGTCGGCAGCCATGGGTTGCCTCATCCAATGGTACCTTATAGATATGGGATGAATATTTGTTTAAAGGGACAAGTCTGAATCCACCTTAGGTAAAGAGGGCTTTGTGCCCTATCGATTATATCATATTGATTAATATCTTAAGGATTTGAAGTCATTAGGGAGCATACAAGCACTAATCATGACCGTAATTTAGTGGTGCCATTTAGCGAGAGTCCTGGTCATAATCTTTTACCTATGGTGTCATTTAGCGGCAAAATCACCAATTATAGGACACATGCCACATCCTTACTGGTAAGGGATGGATTGAAAATAAATCTTAGTGATATTCTAGATATTGGCTTTTTTTGAGTTTGAGGTAATTTTCATTTTTATCCACCTCGATAAACTATTATGGAGGATAAATATATTTTGCTTTAAGTGTGTGATACTGTGATGGTTAATTTCAATTTTAAATATTTTGACATTTTGATTTTTTTTTTTTGAAATTTTAAATTTTCATGGGCATTTGGGAATTTGGGGAGGCATTTTTAAATATTTGGGGTCCTCTCTGGTTGAGATTTTCTGTGAACACGACCATAATCGGGGAATTTATTATCGAGTTCATTATCAATTTTATGCTTTCATTAGCAGTTTTTTTATTATAGATTTTGAAGGCCTAATATAAATGTATAAAACATATATCTCGGTTGATATCACCACCGTATATTTATTTAATAGTTCGAGCCGTGTCGACTCCTATTTAATCACATAAAAAGATTAGGCTCAAACTTGGGTTCATTTTCTGACTCGCGGAACATTCTCAGACGTCATGTGTGTATATACAACACGCTCGCCGGGGCCTGTTCAGGTATATGATTTTTGCATATATTTTGCAAGATGCATTTGTGTAGTAATTGTATGTATACAGTGCAACGGGTGTGCACTATATATTTGCATCGTATGCATTTATGTGTAACATATGCACGTTGATTTACTTATGCATTTAGATGTTATGTCATGCTTTAATGACGTGTTCGCATTTTGCATGATATATCGATATGCAATATAGTGGCTAAATGCACGATCACAATATACAATGTATTTGCATGATTTGTGTATATAATACACACATATATTATTTGATTTGCTTGCATAATACATTTGCATGATAATTCAATACTTGCATGATGTATTTGCATTCTGCATAATGCATGTTGCAACGTATATCTTGCATGTAGTGATGTATATGTATCTAGTATATTTATATGTTGGGAGAGGATACCTGCACTATGTCTGCTCTTGCCTAACTACATGCATCATGAGATGTAATGCATGATGTGTTTATGTGTAAATTCAAGATTTCGCCAAAGCGTTGTGTATTTTGCATATCGGATGGTATATATGCATGATTCCCTTGTATATTGCAGATATAACACCGGGTTTCATTTGAGAATTTATAAATGCCTTATGTCCGCTTATTTACATGTTGCGGATCTGGTGGCACTGCACTGTAGGTCATTTGCTGCTTCATGCAGGTAGACTGTCGTGTTCTAACGAGTCTCTACGATTGTTTACAGATGCTTGTATTCATCGTAATTCTTTTACATTTTGCTCGTGATCTTTGGTCATTGCTGGGGAATGGCATATTGCATGTTCATAAGGGATCCCTCATCCTTGCAGTATATCTACTACTGCTACTTGTAGATGAACAATATTTGTCAGAGTCCTTTTGCACTATGCTTATAGATAGCGGGTTTCAAGCAATTACTTGTAGGCGTTTGCATTTATCATAACCCTTTTTGCATTTGCTAGTGGGTGGCACGTATACATGACGAGCCTTCTACAATGACTTGTAGGTGTTTGCATTCATCATGAGCTTCTGTGCTTGATTGTAAATAATGTGTTGTGTGTGAAGGATCTTATACGACAATTTGTAGGTGCTTGCATTTGCTATATGTTATCCATCTTTTGCTTTCGGGAGACTAGTTTATTTATTTATCATTGAGTGGTTGTTGACTTTAAGGGTGCTGCAACATTCACTCTCTTACTACGACATCTTGCAGGTGCTTTGCATGTATTACAGTTATGTTGCATTTGTCCGTAGATGATATGTTGTGTGTGTATCTGTGTTCACAGTGGATTCGTCATATTTGCGGCGTATCAACCATTGTTGATCGTAAATAGGATCATTGTATGCATTGTCAGGCTTCTATTATAGCCCCTCTTTAACTTGTAGGTCAGCTGTTGTGTGCATGCTGGAGTTCCCACAGTGGCTTGTAGGCAGGTCGTAGTATTGCGCTACGGGTCGCTCGTGACTTCTTACGTCCAAGTTGTCTTGCATTGCAAGCTTTATTAAATCTGCTTTTGGGTCGTCAGTGGATATCCAAATGTCACAACTATCGTATACAGACCGTTGTGTTCATGATGGCTTTCCTATAGTGGCTTGTAGATTCTTGCATCTATCACTTGATCCTTAGATCTTGTAGGATTATCTTGATTCATAGTAGTTCACATAATCCCAAGGTCATAGCTCTGTATTTTGCTTCTGCACTAGATCTTTTCATCACTTTATGTTTCTTACTTGTCCATGTAATTATTTTTCCTCCAAGGAATGCGCAGTATCTTATAGTAGATCATCTATCTATTGGTGATCCTTTGTAATCAACATCAGTATGTGCTTCTAGGGTTATTCCATTGTCTCTTCTAAAGAGAATACTTTTTCATAGGTTCTTTTTAAGGTAGTGCAGTATTATGTCTACAGGTTGCATATAAGTCTTTTTTGGATTTTGCATGAACTCACTAACCATGCTTATAATAAATGCTATATCTGGTAGTGTGGAAAAGGTAGATCAATTTTTCCACAAGTCTTTGGTAAGCTCACTTAACTACCACTGGATCTTATTTAACTTATCCCAATTTGAGATTTGGTTCTACTAATGTTGGTGTCAGTTTACAAGCTAGTTTACCTATCTCTTTAAGAAGATCATTGATGTATTTTTGTTGTGAAATAAAAATTCCATTGTTGGAGTATGCCACTTCAATTTTAAGAAAACATTTTAGTCTACCAAAATCTTTGATCTCAAATTTCTTCGTAAGACATTTCCTTATAATCATTTTATTATTCTCATCATTCCCAATCAAGATGATATCATCCATATAAACTAATAATATTGTGACTTCCCTTAAATCCGAGTACTTGAAGAATAATATATGACCCCATTGACTCTGTTGATAATAATTAAGAAGCGTGACTTTTGAGAATCTTCCAAACCAAGCTTTAGGCGATTGCTTTAGCTCATATAAAGCCTTTCTTAACCTGCATACCTTATCACTCTCATATTTTCCTTTGAATACTGGTGGAATTTCTATAAATATCTCTTCCATCAAGTCCCCATATACAAATGTATTTTTGACATCTAGCTTGGTTCAACTAAAAAAATTACATTAGGATTGCAAACTAAAGTCTTCCTTATCATAAATATAGACAAACACATATATAATATAATAATACTAGAATACAACACCTTACAACTTATATTAATTAAGAGAAGAAAGATACAGATGGGGCGAGAACCATGGATAGAGAAGAAGAGATAGAAAATCGAGACAAAATAATAGAGGGGAAGGGCAAAGGAGGCTAGCTCGCAAGATAGGACAAATCCATAGGTTTTACATTCCAAAATCCATCACATATCCTACCTAAAACTGCAGCAAACAACCCTATTTATTGGGGGAAAAAGGGAAAAAGCATTTAATGCAAGGTAATTACAGTACCACTCAAACAACTACTAGAAACTCCTTAAAAGCTGCAACAAACATGGACCAAAGGGACAACGGCTTAGGGGAAAATAAAGCATCAATACAACAACCAATGGGCACAGAAACCGATGGGATAGCTGCCCAAACCGAAGGAACGTAGCCCAAACCGAAGGGACAACTGCCAAGGGAAAAAATAGAGGA